TTGTCCCATTATTCATCATGATATAGCCAACGAAATTCCAATCCATGCTCAGAAGTTGCAGTATCTGGCTTTTGCAAGTTGGTTAGGTGTGTGTTCTGTTCCCCCCAGTTTACTCTTAGGTTTGATACATCTCAAAAAGTTTCTGATTGAATTCTGTAATAATTTAACATCAGTTTGGTTACATGGTAGAGATCAACTCCATTAGTTATTTTCAGTTGTTTGCCCTTATATTTGAGGTATGTTTCTTCTATAGCACAAACGTATAAGCCGTTAAGATCGAAAGTTCCAGTTCTTATCGGCACTATTTACTCTTACTGTTGATGTGTGCTTACAGAGGTAGCTCAGTATAGTATTCCCAAAAAAAATTGTGCATGTTCAGAAGATACAGGTGTAATTTGAATGCATGCTCATACTTCTTGTGAACAGATTCAGCTGGTATACATCTGTATTTTAGCCTTCCCCTATCTTTTCGATTAGGATTTTACTGGCGGTGATTGCTTAAGGAAATGTGAAGGGTAATTGGAGGCAGTTTAACTTTTGAAACAGAGAGCTTACTGTTCCAAATTCTTCTCACACCCTCTTACTGCATGTTTCGTTAAACTTTTTTATAGAAGGCTTCATTTGGAGTACAATGTGATGAGTAACAAATTGTATGTTCAATAGCAAGTTGAGCTGGAACTAAGATTTGTCTTGCTCTTTCCCCCATATCATGCGACTCATCAAAGTTGTCACACTGTTTTTGGCGTTTTCTTTTTCGTCTGAGAGATTCACCGGTACCTTCTAATAATTTTGGTGCAGGCATCGTCTTTTGCCTCTTTTTCAATATCATTGCCATCACTGTTTGCTGGATAATGGTTGATGGTTAGCCTGATTCTTTAATTTTATGCTTTCCTTTTCCAAATTTTCGGTGCATTACGTCACATATAGTCGTCGGCTTTGAATATTGAGCTAAAAAACTTGATGTACTATATTGTAGGGGTCAAGATCTTCCTCCTTGCAGTAATATACGCCCTACTTGGATGGCCGCTCTCGTATGTGCTTTGGTACCGGCCTTTATACCGTGCAATGAGGTACGTGAAGTC